GTGACTTTCCAGCTGAAAGTCTGAGCTTTGCATATAAAAGGCAGGTGTGCTATTACTGTCGAGTGTATTAAAGCACAAGTTTATGGAAGATTAGAACTTCCTTATTAAGAATGGATATTGGGGGGGGCCAGCAGATGGCATAGTGGTTATGTCGCTGGACTCTCACATAACTGACCACAGTTTGAATCCCAGACCCAGTGGCTTCAAACTCACACCAGTGTGTGTATGTGCATGCCCAAGATCCCAGGAGGAGAAGGGATCACAGTATGGCCATATTCCCCAAGGATGTCTCTTCACTTTCCCTCTCATTGTCCGTCTCTGTTTCTTTCTTTCTTTTTTTTTTTTTTTTGGAGAGGTTCTTGTTACAGGACATGTGCAATCGCCAGACAGGCAGAGAGACAGAAAGCGAGAAATCACCCCCCCAGAGGGCATGGCCACACTGCAATCCCTTCTCCTCCATTCTCCTCTCGGGATCTTGGGCACGCACACATGCACATGTGCCCGGCGTTGAATTTAAGCCACTGGGTCCGGGACTTGAACCGTGGTCGACTACATGGGAGTCCAGCGACATAGCCATTATACTAACTGCTGGTCCCTGTCTGTCTCTGTTTCTCTCTCTCTGGCGAGAGCACTCACCCTAAAGCAAAAACCTCTCAAAAAAAAGAGAGGAAGGAAGGAAGGAAAGATGGATGGACAGACATTTGAGCTTTTGACTTTGAAAAATGTTGATATTTTTAGGATTTATTTTTTAGCTCCATTAATCTCTGAACTTCCGAGGATAGAAAAGAGGGAGCATGACTTATGAGACATACCATGACTCTCGCTTCTGAATGGATGCTACTCTTAACCTCGTAGTTTAATGCTATTTCTCCCCTGTCCAAATGGATCAGGTCAGAGCCATTTTTGTCAGTCTCCTGCAGTCACGGGGTAGTAGAGGGCTGTGGAGTCAGCCTAGACCAAGGCAGCTAGCACTGAACTCCACTGTGGCATGAGAGCTACAGGAGGTGGAGGGGATTTTTCTGAAACTAGTCTCCAGACCCCTCCAGGAAAAAGAGTATTCTGTCTGGTGATGATCTGGGTGATTGTCCCCTCCTGTTGGTACAATCAACAGGAGGCCCACTGGCCCTTTGGTCACTTTGCAATAGTTCCTAGGGTCTCAGCAGTTCTCAGTCCTCGCCATGTATGCTTGTTGTGTTGTACATTGTGTTGTTTGGGAGCTGTTTTGGTTTTTTTGATTGGAGGTTTTGATGAATTTTTCTTTTCTTTTTAAAGAATTATTTTATTTAACTTATTTATTTTAATTTGACCAGAGAAGGAGAGGGAAACAGAGAGAGGTGAAAGCAAGTCACCAGGTCTGGGACTTGAACTACAGTTGGCCATGTGAGAGAGTCTAGCACCCCTAACCACCATGCCACCTGCTGTCTCCTGGATTTTTCATTTAAGCATCTTCAGTGAGTGCTCAGAAGCCAGTATAAAGACTCTAGGTTATTATCATGTGCATAACCTTGCTACTTGGTCATCTTAAGAGGCTTAAGACGAAGCTCTTGAGTGGATTGTGTTTACTGGGAACACATGCCTATGTCCATAGGTGCATCCATGTTGTTTTTGGAGAAGAATATAGTGGTGTCTACTCTCCTTTAACAAGATTGGTGATGTACTTAGTTTACTGCCACTCAAACCTTTCCTCCCTTTCTAATATCCTTTCCTTGCTACTTGAGGCATTGTAGGGGCTTGTCTGTGGGGGGGTTCTGTGTCTCGTTTCATCAGAGAAAAGCTATTTAGCCCTTGTTAGAGCATCATACACATATGAGACACCTGGGCCTCAGAGTGACCGTGCCACTGTTTGTTCTCAGGTGTCTTGGCTGGGCACGACAACCGCGTCAGCTGCCTGGGGGTGACTGACGATGGCATGGCTGTGGCAACGGGGTCCTGGGATAGCTTCCTCAAGATCTGGAACTAATGCCAGTAGGTAATGGAGAACCCCAAATGCCTATCCCTAAGCCGTACGTATTTCTCCTGAAACACAAGAAGTTGTGATTTGTGGTTTCTAGATTAATTTTAATGTAGCCTTGATTTGACATTGTAACAAGTAAACTTTACGTAGAGCTGAAGCAAAGTGCCCCCCAGCTACAAACACTGATGTAGATGTGGAAAGAGCAGTAGCACTAATCACATGTCTGAATGTAGACCATTGCTTTTTACATTTATGTAAACTCTGTTTAAAACAGCAGGTGGACGCCATGGTGACTGGAAGCCCATTCCAACCTTGAAGCGTTGCAGTGATAGCATATTCCATCCAACCGTACTAACGTGGACCCCCTACACCTCCCCTCAGAACTTCAAAAGGGCAAGATCTTTTTTCCTTCACTTATTGCTGAAACCAAGAGCACAATTCCCATTAAGAGAAGGATCTCTGTGCTGTAAACTAAAACAAATTGTGCATTCCTTCCGGGGCCATTGTCTTTGTTTTTTTTTTGTTTTTCTTCTTGTCTTGAATGAATTTTCAAAGGAAATACTATAATAAAAATGTTATCCAGAAGGTAAACTTGAGTGTAATTGTGAGACAGACACACCTTTTCACTAGTTTATTTGAATTTTAGACCAGTGATCCTGTTTTGTGATGTTCATGCAAAACAAGTTGAGGACTTTATCTTGTAATCGTTTCTAAATTTCAAGTTGTGTTTGTAGCAAGATTTTGGAAGCATTCATATTTCTTTTTTAAAAATATATTCCTTTCTGTTCAATAGCTAAACAGAACCAGAGAGTCCAGGGCAGCCTCTCTGATATTGTCAATGATGTAAATTTAGTCCCTGGTTCTTTTTACTTTCTGTCTCGTGTCACAGATAATTGTTGCACACAAACATGATATAGAAAGAGTAATGTTGAGGTAACCAAGCACATGCTGTTGATGGTCTTGAATGTGCGATCAAGGAATTCTTCACCTTTTCTGGATAGTAAATTCAAATCCAGCACACCCTTTCCTCCAAACCCATCCTCCTTACCTTCTCAATTCAGTTTTTAACTTTACCTTGGGTTTCCTTGTGAAGTTGGAGGGAAGTTTATAATAGCCTAACACTACCCCACCCCACCCTCAACTACCAGGAACCTCTGTTTTCAAGAGAGATGCCTGTCCTGTGCTTGGATAGTCAGTCAGTCAGTCAATTATTTGTGTATGAAACAATGTACAAATCAATGTTTTGAAAATAATGATCTCAGACTTTCTAAGTTAAATTTTAAAAAATTTGATTGTTTGCCATATTGGGTGGGTTTACTCTTAGAATCGCATGCTGTAGAAATGCTCAAAAGTGCATATAGGACTCAGTCCTTAGATGTTCTTTTTCTTTTAAGAAATAACCTCTTACAGTTGTAACCATTGCGGCGCTATCCACTTATTGTTGCTACTCTGTGCACACATATCGGAAGCAGTACAATAAGCAGCTCTACACGCTTGAGTAGCGGGATAAGTTCTTCTTTTCTTTATTTCTTTTAAAACAAAAAGCAGTCCTGTTGCAAACGATTGCTGTTGGATTCTGAGGGGGGGAGGGAGGGAGGGAGGGAGGGAGAAGGGGGGGAGAGCCTGCCCTTCCTCTGTATCAATTCCTCATGGCCTGTCTCTCCCATAGAACAAGCCTTTTGCATCTGAGGCAGATCATTTTTATAATATGCAGATTTTCCTGGTTTTCATTTTAAGTCCAGTGTTCAGCAGCAGCGTTTGGACAGCAGTGTTCTGTGGACCCTCCTGCTCCCCCCTGTTCCCCCAGCGCCCCTCCATAGCAGCAGTAGTGGCTTCTCCATCCTGTTTTCTGCAACATCCTGTACAAAACTGTGCTGTGACTGTGCGGTAGGCCTGGATCTGGCAAAGAGAATAAAAACGAAACCCTTTCTTTCTCCTCCCATCAAACAACTCTGTAGAGCTCTCTGCACCCTTTACCTTTTCACCTTTTGTATTTAATTTTAAAGTCAGTGTACTGCAAGGAAGCTGGATGCAAGATAGATACTATATTAAACTGTACTGTTATTTAAGATGTAATAAAGCAGTTTGACATGATGGACTTTGGTGTGGTGATTATTTGCGGGTCCATCCCAGTTAATGGATGCAGCTGCCATCCCTTGGCTCCCCTGCTGCTGAGAGTGCCGACAGTCAAACCAGTCAGTGCCTTGACCTCCTGCGTCACAGAGCATCCACAGAAGGAGATTGTGGCTCCTCAGAGAGGCTCCTGGGAAGCTATACTCACAGGCCTGCCAAACCACGAAGTCTAACCCCACCTCCCAGGCCCTCCAGGGCAGGCAGCTTTTCCTTACTCAGACCCTTGCCAAGGTACCTGGGAAGTCTCCCTAGAATAGCTGCCCTGCCATTCATTCTTCTTGACTTACACCAACCTAGCTACCTCCTTTCTCTTCCCTAAAATACCTGGGGTATCTCACTTAGACACACTTTGCTTCTGACTAAAGTTTCATCTCACCCTGAATAAAAGAACTGGATCTTCTAAGAAAAAAATGAGCACCTGCCACAAAAGTGAAAGCACTGGACTGTATATTAACCAAGAAGGGCATTCCTTCCAGGGTGCAGGATCTCATCTCTTCCTTGTTTGCTAGGCTAAAACACAGGATTTTCTTTTTTCTTTCTTTTCTTTTCTTTTTCTTTTTTTTGAGAGGTTTTTGCTATAGGGCGTGTGCGCTCACCAGACAGACACAGACAGACAGAAGGCAAGAAATCACCCTCTAGGGGGGATGGCCACACCGTAATCAATCCCCTCTCCTCCATAAGTGAAGGTGGCTCTCAGTGGAAAGTATTCCAGCCTGAGACTCCTTTTACTGATTATCAGCAAAGAAACAGCAGCAGAGATGGTCGCACTTGGGATGGGAAGCCTGGCTGCATTTGCTGTTCCAAGGAAAGTGTGAGGGAACCTATAGAGCCCCTGGTCTTACTGCTGTCACTGTTGGATGTGTTTCTGATGGGACCAGTGATGTCCATTGCCACCTTTCTTTAAAAGAGTGTTTTATTACTTTTGTTTAAATTTTCTGTAGGACATGGGTGTTCACAGAGAGCGCAAGCGAGCAAGTGAGAAAGCAAGCCATCAGGTCTAGGACTTGAACCACGGTCAGTCATGTGGGAGTCCAGCACCTTAACCACCATGCTACCTGCTGCCCCCATTGCCATCTCTTTTAGAAACAGCTGTTCTAACAAGTGACTACACAATACTGGCTCCTGGGTGGGGCAACCTGGAACCTTTTTAGACTGCTAAGGTGGGAGCCCTGCGTCACAGACCATCCACAGAAGGAGATTGTGGCTCCTCAGAGAGGCTCCTGGGAAGCTATACTCACAGGCCTGCCAAACCACGAAGTCTAACCCCACCTCCCAGGCCCTCCAGGGCAGGCAGCTTTTCCTTACTCAGACCCTTGCCAAGGTACCTGGGAAGTCTCCCTAGAATAGCTGCCCTGCCATTCATTCTTCTTGACTTACACCAACCTAGCTACCTCCTTTCTCTTCCCTAAAATACCTGGGGTATCTCACTTAGACACACTTTGCTTCTGACTAAAGTTTCATCTCACCCTGAATAAAAGAACTGGATCTTCTAAGAAAAAAATGAGCACCTGCCACAAAAGTGAAAGCACTGGACTGTATATTAACCAAGAAGGGCATTCCTTCCAGGGTGCAGGATCTCATCTCTTCCTTGTTTGCTAGGCTAAAACACAGGATTTTCTTTTTTCTTTCTTTTCTTTTCTTTTTCTTTTTTTTGAGAGGTTTTTGCTATAGGGCGTGTGCGCTCACCAGACAGACACAGACAGACAGAAGGCAAGAAATCACCCTCTAGGGGGGATGGCCACACCGTAATCAATCCCCTCTCCTCCATAAGTGAAGGTGGCTCTCAGTGGAAAGTATTCCAGCCTGAGACTCCTTTTACTGATTATCAGCAAAGAAACAGCAGCAGAGATGGTCGCACTTGGGATGGGAAGCCTGGCTGCATTTGCTGTTCCAAGGAAAGTGTGAGGGAACCTATAGAGCCCCTGGTCTTACTGCTGTCACTGTTGGATGTGTTTCTGATGGGACCAGTGATGTCCATTGCCACCTTTCTTTAAAAGAGTGTTTTATTACTTTTGTTTAAATTTTCTGTAGGACATGGGTGTTCACAGAGAGCGCAAGCGAGCAAGTGAGAAAGCAAGCCATCAGGTCTAGGACTTGAACCACGGTCAGTCATGTGGGAGTCCAGCACCTTAACCACCATGCTACCTGCTGCCCCCATTGCCATCTCTTTTAGAAACAGCTGTTCTAACAAGTGACTACACAATACTGGCTCCTGGGTGGGGCAACCTGGAACCTTTTTAGACTGCTAAGGTGGGAGTGATTGGCAGGCTGAATAGGGTGGGTTTGCCTGGCTTCACCCTCCTCCCCCACTTCTCCCTGAAATAAATCTGTTCTTCAAGGTGCATTAATTTTTTGCAAGGTTTAACCCTGCCAGCTTTCCTAGAAAAAGACAGACAAAATGTTAGAGAGCACCCCACCCCCACCCCAGGCAAAAGGTGAAATATGTGAGCCTTAGCAAGTACCAGCTGCTACTTCACCATTTTCACTTTCTCTCTTCAGTAATGACCATTTTTGTCCGTGCCCTAGCCTGGCACCCAGTGAGAACCTGGGATGTGGCCTCCTCATTAGAAGAGCCAGGAGCTGATGAGGGCCCCTTCCTGGAACATGAAGGCTAATTTTCTTAGTAAAGCAGTCACAGATACTAGGTACCAAATAATGGGCATTTGGGCAGAGGCACTAGCCAGAGCAATATGGGGAGCAAAGGATAAGTCCATACTGGTTGAGAGGAAGTGCTGCCATTCCAGACATCATGCACAAAACTTGGTTTGCACAGACTGTATGAAATGCCTAAGGCAGGAGTAGCATCCCGTACCACTTGCACCTCCACAGTGGGAGGTCCGAGATGCACTCTTGCCGCCTTTGAGTTTCTTCCTTCCTGCATGGGCCACAGGCAGAGGAGGGACCTGTTGGCAGCCAGCTGCCCAGTTCCAAGCTGTTTCCCTATAGCCTGCTTGGTCCCCGTTTGACTAGGAGGCTGATGGCCACTCCTATCTGCTCCATACCATGGGGATCCTCACCCTGCTTGCTTGCACTACCCTTGTGTGTCTATTCTGGCAGAGCAAGGATTCCCTTCTGTACAGTGGCAGTGCCCCTGGGTCCTGCAGTTCTGCCATCATGCCATTCCCCCACCAGCCCAGGCGAGCCAGAGCACTGGAGAAAGGGGTTGTTTAGGGCAAGTGAGCTCACCCAAAAGGCCCACCCCCACTGGCATCACCAACCCCGAGCCTTGCCCAGAGGTCATTGGCCAACTCTGCCCCTTCTCTTCACTGGATGATTGATCTTGGGCAAATTACCTGGTCCCTGTGCCTCTGGATCCATGTGGAAAATGTGGACAGTAAAAGTGCTTCTCACAGACTTGTGAAGATGTGAGTCCCTGTGTGTACCAGGCAGAGTAAACCCACAGATTACTATCAGTGTCTTTCCAACCCCACCCACACCCCTGGCTTATGTTACTTCAGGGTCTCTATGCCTGCTGTTCACTGCTTGAGGATGGTTGTCCATGAGCACTCCTGGTCAAAACTATACCCTAGCCCTTGGGGGCCAGCAAGTGGCATGGTGGTTAAAGTGCTGGACACTCCCACATGACCTATCATGGTTCCAGTCCTGGACCTGGTGGCTTGCTTTGTCACTTCCCCCTCTCTCTGGTCAAATTAAAATAAATGAATCAATAAAATGAAATCTTTAATTAAAAAAAAAAAAAAACTATACCCTGACCCTCTTTGCTGCCCCAGTTCTACTAGTCAGCTTGTTTCACCAAAAGATGACAGGCCTGTTTCCTTCTCTGCTGAAGTCTGCCTAGCACATGGCAGGAATTCAGAAACAAGGCTTGCCCTCCCAAAAATAGGACTGCCAAATGGGCAGTTCTGGACACTGACCTGTGGGGAGGGTATATATTTGGTTGTCATGGTGTATTTTTACATAGACTTTTCCTACAGTCTAATATAAAGTCTAGTAGGAGGGCCCCCGTCCTGCCTCTCAGGTCCAGAAAGCTGGGCCTAGCCAGTGCCAGGTGTGCTGGCTGGAGAATAGAGAACCTCAGGATAGCCTGTGACACTCACGTCCACCCGAGCCTCAGTCCCTCCAGGTCACCTAACACCCTGAATCTTAGCCACTTCCCCTTTGGGCGCCTGGCAGCTTGTTTACTCCATCCAGACCAACAGAAGCTAACTTTCCTCCCTCACAGAACTGGGAATAGTACCCCAAGGAAGTGCAGCCCACATGGGGTGGGGGGGGCGGTTAGAGGGGTGTGCTCCCCTGCCCTGCACCTAAATGGCAAAGAGTCCAGTACTGGGAGGCAGATCCACTCTGCTCCACTCCAAGGACCTGGCTCCCCTGTTTCTCCCTTCACCTCCATCCCTGCTGGTCTCCATCATTCAACCCTCAGATGAGGGTGGGTCCAGGTTTTGGAGGATCTGAAGCATAAACAATATGGGGACCATTGTTAAGAGAAAATTACTGAAAAAATGACAAAGTCTGCAACAACTATTAATATAAGCAGTGGCTATCAGGGAGTTTGGAAAAAGGGCTGATTGTGTTGCCAGAACCTTATTCCGGGAGGAAAGGGAGCCTTTCCTGATTCCCCAGCCCCTCTAAAGTAGAACCCCTCTCCTTTGTATTTGATCTGGCACGGATCTCTTTAGACTCACCCCCCTCCACCCCAGCCTTTGTCCCTGCAGTTGGGATGTCCCTCCCCTTCAGACTCAGTCCAAGTGAAACTGCCTCTGGTGGGAAACTTCTGGGTACCCTAAGGCTCCCCTCCTAAGCTTTGGCCTTAGTTACTGGTAGTGAGTTCTGGGGTGAGGGGTGGGTTTGAACTCTTGGTCCCTGAGTCCCCGAGGCCTGCTTAGAGAAATTGCACAATCAAGGTCAGCTGAAGGAAGTCACAACCCTTGTTTTCTCATCTTTGAAATGGAGAACTGCTCTTGTCAGCAGTCCTGGGTTGATCAACTGTTCCCATGGTTACAGACTGGGCACCTGCCTGAAGACCCTTTAGAGGCATACAGGAAGGGTGCTTGCTGTGTGACCTTGGGCTGGGTGCCTCTACAGAAGTGGATGACTGCCCTCACTCTAGAAGGTTCTCCAGAGGTCTGGCCCAGAGCCTAGCAGTTCAACTGGCTCAATCTCTATCAAGGATTATTATGCTAATGTTTACAGCAGCTCAAGGATTCTCATTCAGTGGGTGTGGCTGATGCTAACTTTGAGGAAGCAGCTGGGTATACAAAATAACCCATGAGGAAGTTACAAGTTTAAGAAATACCCCCAAATTCCCGCCATCCTCACCCCCCTTCTCATTTGCCCTGGTGTCCCTCACTGAACAGTGATCAGGGACAGCAGTGAAATCCTTTCCAGGAAAACAGCCAGGCCACATCCCAGGTCTCTGGACCAGGCCCCAGGAGTCCCAGCTGACAGCTGCCTGACCAGAGCAGGTATTGGGTTTGGGTAAGGCTTGGGGACCCAGCTGCTGAAGGGTGCTGTGTGTGATGACCTACTCCAGAGAACTCAAGACTACAAGGCCCGAGGGCTCCAAATGGGGGAAGACAGAGTGGATGTTTGTGATCAGTGGATGGTTTTGGGGGAGCCAGGTTAGAGAAGCACTTGGTTTACTGCAGGGTTTAATCTCCTACAGGAATACTGCCTCAGTTGTGACCCCAGGAGCGGAAGAGCCCCACATGTTGGGACAATGCATTAAGTCTGAGGGAGGCCCAATGTGTCTGGACCACAGCCCACAGCTCCACTAGAAGCTACAAAGCCAGCTCTTGTGACCCTAATCCCTTCCCTTCTGGGCCCTCCAGCTGGTGGTTGCAGCACACACTATTCTACGGTCACCCTCAAGGAGCTCCAAGCCCATATCCCCAAGGTCGTGGTACAGAAAGCAGTTTGAGGTGGGTGTGAGGAGGCCCTGGTGGTTGCAGGGCAGGCCAAGAACGCCTTTATCCCAGGCAGAGGTCCCGACTTCGTCCAGAAGCCTCAGGGATCTTACTTAGTACAGTTGCAGCTACTTCACTGAGTTTTGGTTCTCAAATCCTGTTTGGTCCAAGACGTGTCACATCTGTTAATTAAGGGATCAGCGGTGGGCGGCGCCTCCCTGTAGAGGGGCACCTGGCTCCCCAGCCTTGGCCCAAGTGGACCGGGAGATCCCACCGGCAGTAGAGGTGAGAGGGGAAGTGGAACAAGACGCCGGGCAGTGGGGCAAGGGTCTGGCGGCCTCGGACGCAATCGAAAGGTGGCTGGAGGACGCGGGGGACGCTTCGGACTGAACAGGTGAGTGGAATCCATGAGTTGCAACCCTCGGAGTGCCAGTCCTTCCTCCGCACCGGGCCGTCCTTCTGCCCACCCCTCCATTGCCCGTTCTTCCCCTTGGGCAGTCCCTTTTTATCACGGCTGTTTTTCCCTTTCCCCGATTGTTTCCCCGGCTCCTCCTGGCTGCCCTCTCCCGACCACCACCTGCTGACAAGTCCCATGGCCTCAGGCAAACTACCCCTGCTAGGACGCCCAGCTTCCCCTTTACCCTGTTCCCTCAGGGCCCCCGCCCCTTTTACCCCTTCCAGGCCAACCAGGCCCTAGCAAGCCGCACCTGCTTCCCAGACCCCTGCTTCTCCCTCCCTGTCCCTGGTCCGTAACTCAGCGCACGGAGCCTGTGCGCCAGTCTGGCTGGGTGACTCCCTGGGCCCCCACGTGTGCGGCGGCGCAGCAGGACGCATGCGCGGCGCGCGAGCCTGCGCACTGAGCAGCCGCGGCGCATTGCTGCTCGGCGGCGCCGGCGCCGGGATCTGGGCGGCCATGGGGCAGCGGGCAGCTGGAGCGCCAAGGGCCAGGTAGCGACGGCTAGCGGCGGCGGGCCCCGAGGGCTAGGCCCGGCATGTAGATTCCCCCGCAGGCACCCGCAGCAACGAACGGTGAGTGCGCGGTCTCGCCCCACCCACTGCCTGGGGTTGCCGACTGCTTGCGGTCACTCGCCACCCACCGGCGCGGGGAGGCCTGGCGCACCGGAGGCCGGTGGCTGGAGCGGACGTCTGGGCTCGGGAGCACCCGGCGGGCCCTGCCATCTGCCCTGAGGTGGACACCGACGAGGCTTACTTGCCGCCCCTCCATCTGAACATGGTGACGGCTCCAGCCCAGGACAGTGCGCGGCCTTGGAGACAGGCCTTGCAGGACGCTGCTGTCCGGCCTCGCTCTCGCCGGGCGCAGTGGGGCCGCTGGGCCTGGACTTTACTCCCTCAGTAGATAGCTGCTAGGGCGGCTTGGATTTCCCGTGTCGGGCTTCTGCGGTGATTTAAGTAAACCTTTGACATATGGAAGATTAGAGGACCCAAATCTAGTGGGAAAGTGGTGAGTTAAGGATTTTATAAAGTAGTATTGGCATGTAATTCTCTAAAAACATACTTTTAACTTAGTGCCCACTACTTGTCAGAAAATTCCAAAGTCCTCTCAAAAGTCTCCGGTGCTGTTCCAAAGTCCTCTCAAAAGTCTCTGGCGATGTTCCTAGAGGCGCCACCCACAGCCCAGAGGTTAGTAGCCACTGGCCCGTGGTCTTGGATTCTGAGTCATTTTCTTTCATAATTGTGGGAACAGGGAGTGCCCAGCTCAGCTGTCTGAAGGCCTGCTGAAGTTTTCCTTCCTTGGTCAAGGACACGCCTCCCCCTCCCCCCAGTCCCTTTTCCCTGTTGGCTCTGATTTTGAATAACAAGTTATTTTTTCTTTTCTGTTTTGGAACCCACTCTGTTTTTACATTCAAAACTTATTCATTCTTCTTGGCTTTTGATGGGACTGCAGTACATTTTAAAACTGTATTCATTTGTTCCATGTGTCTCATTGTCTGAACCTGACATGTTATTTAACATCTTTCTAGATAGTATCCTTCAAGGACTCACTCCCCTAAATATTGTCCTCCCAAGCCTCAAGACTTTCTGCCTTCCTGAAGCTTCTTTTTTTTTAATAATTATTTAATTTTATTTATTCATTCATTTATTTTAATTTGACCAGAAAGAGAGAGTGAGAAAGCAAACTGCCAGGTCCGGGATTCGAACCGTGGTCAGCCATGTGGGAATGTCCCGCACCTTAACCACCACGCCACCTGCTGGTCCCCCTTCTTGAAACTTCTGTGTGTGGCCTGATTCCAAGCTATCTGGGGACAGCAACAGGTGTGAACACAGTACCTAACACAGTAGTTTTATTTTTTATTTTTTTTAAGAAGTATTTATTTAATTTTATTTATTCATTTTATTTTAATTTAACCAGAGAGAGACACAGAGAGAGAAAGTAAGAGAGAAGGAAAGAGAAAGCAAGCCACCAGGTCCAGGACTTGAACCGTGGTCAGCCATGTGGGAGTGTCCAGTGCCTTAACCACCATGCCACCTGCTAGTCCCCACATAGTAGTTTCATTTGTAAGTGACCTCCTAAGATGTTTCTTTCTTGGGGCCAGAAGGTGGCATAGTGGTTAAGGAGCAGGACTGCCACATGGTTGACTGCGGTTCGAGTCCTGGACCCAGCAGTTCAGAACTCATGTCAGTTGTGTCTGCATACATGCTCAAAATTCTGAGAGGAGAATGGAGAAGGAGGGATTGCCATGTGGCCATCTTCCCTTGTCGGTTGATTTCTTGCTTTCTGTCTGTCTCTCTGGTGAGTGCACGTACCCTATAGCAAAAATATCTCTAAAAATTTTTTTTAAAGGGGACTGGCAGGTGGCCTGGTGGTTAAGGGCTCTGGACTCCCACATGGCCAATTGTGGTTTAAGTCTCAGACCTGGTAACTTGCTTTCCTCACTTTCTCTCACTCTCACTCTCTTGCTCTGTCCCTCTCTGGTCAATTTAAATAAATAAATAAATAAATAAAGTTAAAATAATTCTTAAATTTTTTTTAAACTCTCAAAAAAACTTTCCTTTTTTATTTGTTTAATCTTTGAAATAAAAGATATTTTATGTTGTTAGTCAATTGGCTGCTGTTTGGTTCTTTTATTTATTTATTTTTTTGGAGAGGTTTTTACTGTAGGGTGCGTGCGCTCACCAGAAAGAGAGAGAGACAGACAGATAGAAAGCAAGAAGTTACTCCCCAGTGGGGATGGCCACGCCGCAATCCCTTCTCCATTTTCTTCTTGGGCACGCACACACACATACCCGGTGTGAGTTTAAGCCACCGGGTCCAGGACTCGAACCACAGTTGACTACATGGCAGTTCAGTAACATAGCCATTACACTAACTGCTGGTCCCTGCTGTTTGATTCTTAAAATAGCATTTTTCCCTAAAAACAGTTGCTGTAAGTTGATAGATTTACAGGGTAGCCCAAATTCCTGTTTAATTTGTAAATGATTATAATGAGAGTCCTGAGAAACTGGCAGAGACAAATAGCAGTTCTTTTGAAGTGAAGGTAGTTAACCAATAGGAGGAAAGTGGTGTTTGTGACTAAGTAAAACAGGACAATAAAAGTTGACTTTATTGATTTTAACAACTTGAAAGAAGTAGGTTTCACTTGAAGGATGAAGAGGCAGGTGTTACTTTATTGGGGTTTAAAGTTTTATGTCTTTATTACCTCAGAAGGATGATAGTACCATACCAAGAGGGAGCTGAGAGTATAGTCCCAGCACCTGGAAGAGGAGCCTTGGAATGGCAAGACTATACACCTTTGGCAGCAAGACCTCCAGTGGCTTCACTCTCTAGTCTTCTGACATCTGTTGACAGTCACTGCAATGGGTTTACCCATTCTGGACCACTGGGTATCAGTGATGGTTCAGCTTGTAACCCCAGGACTCTGTTTCTATTGTTGGTACCCAAGGCTTATCTTTTTGCAATATCTTCAGACCAGCAGATGGCACAATTGTTACATTGCTAGACTCCCATGTAGTTGACGGCTGTTCAGGTCTGGGACCCAGCACCTTAAAACTCACGCCAGGTGCGATGCCCAAGATCCCGAGAGGAGAATATAGGAGAAGGAATTGTGGTATGGCCAACCCCTCTCTGGGGGAGGTGATTTTTCACTTTCTATCTTTCTCTTTCCGGCGAGTGCTCGCATCCTGTAGCAAAAATCTCTTTCAAAAAAATAAATAAATGTTTGGTTTCTTTAGCCAATTGATGGAAAGTATTCAGAGAAAAGGGATGGAGGTTACTTAGGTGGTATGATGACTCCTTGCCCACTTTGTACAGCAGAAAGGTGGGGTGATACCTGGTCCCACTATTCAGAATTGTACATATCTTTGTTTTCCTTATTTGACCCAAGAATGTGGGTATGTTATCGGATGGGGACCTGAGCTGTGTTCTGTAATAACTTGGTTCTTTGAGTCCAGATTCCTAAGATGCAGGAAAAAATTACAAACAAGTAAAGTAGGAAAAGAGAAGTTTTTAATAGGGAAGTGAACATTTTTAACAGAAATTAATACACCCCAAAGCCAGAAAGGCACACAGGTGGGCAGCTGCCAGAGAAGGATAACTGCATTGAGAATGAGGTTAGGTATTAATTTTATTTGGGGATCATGTTGTGAATATTTAGGAGGGGAGGTCTGTCATTGCAGGCTTCTTTGTTTGAATTTGCGGGCTTCCATCTGTGCTTGGGTACTTTTCCCTCAGGTAAGGAGTTTGACGAATTTGATTGCCCAGTTACACATGCCCAGCGTGCACTTTGAAAGTATGACTGTCAGTGTAGGGATGATTTTGCCCGTATCAGTTCCTTGCCCTAAGTGGGAATTTGGATGTTGATCAAGCATCTCAGTAAGATACCTCTCTTTTAGCATCAGGAGTCTAGCTGTGGGTTCTAGCTGCAGTTCTTAGTAACGGTGACTGAAGGGTCAACTGTTCCCTTTGTTGGCATATTGGGACTCCCTGCTCATTGTTTCTACGTTAACAGAGACATGTCCTCAGAAAGCTCCTTTAAATCTGTAATCCTGTTAAGTTTATGTGTTCACAGGATTAGGCTCTCTAGTCCCATAGAACTTTCTAGAAGGTCTTTCTTAGTTTATATGCCACCAGTGTGAGTACCACTGTTATGACAGCCTTGCTAAAGTAGACATTGTGGGGGTTGTGGCAAGATGGATAATTTAATAGGCACTAAGGTTTTTTCTTTTCTTTTTAGATTTATTTACTTATAATTTTATTTATTATCATTATTTTTCCATTTCCAGAGAGAGACAGATAGAGAGAAAGAGTGAGTGAGAAAGCAAGCTGCCAGGTTTGGGACTTGAACCATGGTCTGCCATGTGGGAGTCTAGTGCCTCAACTACTATGCCACCTGCTGATCCCTAAGGTGTTTTCTAATTCAGTGTTAACTGAGTTGAACAATTTCCGATTTCTGTCACTAAATAAATTTTTCTATTTAATTCAGTGTTTCAACAAGTATTTGTTGAAAACCTGTTTTGATGAAACCTAGTCAGCTTAACTGGTAACCATAGTCCCCAGGATCCACCAGAGGCCCCAAAAGAAAAGTACCAGCTGGGAACCAGCAGTTAGCGTAATGGCTATGTCGCTGGACTCCCACGTAGTTGACAGCGGTTCGTGTCCCGGACCCGGTGGCTTAAAACTCACGCCGGGCGCGTGTGCGTGTGTGCCCAAGATCCTGAGAGAAGAATGGAGGAGAAGGGATTGCGGCGTGACCATCCCCCCTGGGGGGTGATTTCTCGCTTTCTGTCTCTATGTCTCTCTCTGTCTGTCTGGCGAGCACACGCACGCGCCCTACAGTGAAAATCTCTCCAAAAAAAAAAAGAAAGAAAAGTACCAGCTGAGGGGTCAACCTGCATGGGCCCCTTCTAGGTGGCATCACCATCAGGGGTCAAGCTGAATATACCTTTTCAATGACACAACTGCAGTGTGAAAGTTAAGAGTTCTTAAGGGGTTAACTCTATGGCCTGGTGGTTAAGGCAGCTGGACCCCACATGACAAGCCACATGGTTCAAGTCCTATACCCACTGGCGTGAGAAACACACTGGGCCTATGTGCGTATGTGCTCAAAATCCTGAAAGGGAGAAGAGAAGAAATTGAAGCATGACCATTTGTCATGGTGGGTGTCCCCTTCTTTCCCTGGTGAGTGCATATGCCCTCTAGCAGGAAAACAAAGCAAAATTAAAACAAACCAGTGTTTAGTACTAATAGATCCTGAAGAGTATACTACATACCTGAAACACCACCACCCCCCATCACATACTCTGAGGTAAGGGAGCCCAAGCAAGGAGAGAGAGAAGAAACCCATGGGCCAACACTTTTATTGGGTCTAAGGTGGTATTCAAATAAGTTTTCCACAGAAGCTTTGATCGGTGGGTTTAGAGCAAGCAGGTTCTAGTTCCATGAAGCCACATTGTGACTGAGAGGTGGTCACTTTAAATTGGTAGGGCAAGTGTTTGGTCCGTTTAAAGGAAGTAGCAGGGAAACAACCCAACCTAGCTAAGCAGGAGAGGTACTCATATTTTATCTCTGGCCACTGGCAGGAGCCATTCAAGTGGGATATAGTACTGGAAACTGTCCAGAGTAATGAAGCCCTGCTTCTGGTATGAAAAAGTTAAACATGTTTTAAAATGGATGCTGAAATAACATTAATTTTTCAGTACTCACTACAGAGCTCACACTGGACCTCATATATATTGTTTTTATTTGTGTGTGTGAAAGAAAGAGAGAGAGTGGTTCCATACCAGAGGCTCGAGGGATTCACTGAGGGTCTTGGAACGCATCCTGACCAATAAGGGGGAGCTACTATAAATAGAACTATATAGTGTGTGACCTTTGAGATTGACTTTTTTCTCTGAGCAAAATTATCCCAAACTGTTGTATGTATCAATAGTTTGTTCTTTTATTACAGAGTAGTATTTTGTTGTATGGGTTAACAGTTTAACCAATCAGTGGCGGAAAGACATTGGGCCAATTGCGGTTTAGGGCTGCTGCAAACAAAGCTGTGGTGAACGTTCAATTCAGATACATTCAGATGTCCATGTGAACATAAATTTTTATTTCTCTGGGATAAATGCCCAAGGTACAATTGCTGGGTTGTTTGTTTAGTTTTATGAGAAACTGCCAAATCATTTTCCAGAATGATTGTACCATTTTATGCTTCCACCATCAATGTATGGGTTATCTAGTTCTTGTAATCTCTCCAGCTTTTAGTTTTGTCACTATTTTTTATTTTAGCTATTTTGATAGGCTTTTAGTAATATTTCATTGTGGTTTTAACTTGCATTTCCTAATGGCTATGATGTCGAACATGTTTTTGTGCTTATTTACCATCCACATAATTCTCTTTGATCTGTTCATCTCTTTTATCCATTTTTAAAAATTTCTTCTTTCTTCTTTAAGTCTATTTCATCCATGAACAAAAGAGACAGAGAGACAGAGAAAGAGACAGAATCCTGAACAGAGTCTTGTTGCTACGGTCCACCCCACAAGCTCAGCCAGTCCCAGATAATGGGCACACGCCCATCCTCCTGTACTGAAGGAGCTCTCCGGATGCAAACTCAGAACCTTCCCATGTGAGTCAGCCTCGCAGAATTTTGTATTTTACCACTGCGCCACCATTTGTCCCCTTCTTTTGACCATTTTCTAATTGGATTGTTTGTTTTCTCACTGCTGAGTTTTCAAAGTTCCTAATCTATTCTAGATACCATTAGTTTGTTAGATATGTGACTCATAAATATTTTCTCCCAGTTTGTAGCTTATCTTTTCATTCTGTTAACAGGATCTTTTGTAGAGAAAAGTTCCTAATCTTTGTTGTTGTTGCTGCTGAGGGTACATTTGCTCACCAGAGAGAGACAGAAAGACACAAAGAGAAAGAGAGGGAACACCTCCCCAACAGGGCGTGGTCATACCATAAGCCTTTCTCCTCCTTTTCTCCATCCTGTTGGGGTTTGAGGCATGCATGTACACATGCCTGGCTGTACCGTGCTGCCCACAATAGACGACACTGTCGTCTCCGTGCTGTAACACTACGCTGCTTGCCCCGGCTCTCACTCCTTCACTCAGGAAACCCGTTCGGCTGTCCCCCCGGGTCGGGACACTTTTCTCCATCCTGTTGGGGTTTGAGGCATGCATGTACACATGCCTGGAGTGTTTTTCAGGCCTCTAGGGTCAAAATTCAAACCACAGTAAGCCCTTTTGGATTAGGCTCTGCTAACCATTAGGCTATAAGACCATGCATCCTGGTCATGCATGAATATACCCAGTATATCCCTAAACCTCCAGGGTCTGGATTTGAATTGCATTCGGCCCTATAAAATCTGGGTCCCTCTGCACAGCACTTGCCTTGAGTTGTTCTTTTTATGTCATGTCTGAAAAGTTTCTCTTGGGCCCAGGGCCTGGTGGTTAAGGGAGCCACAGGGCCAACTGAGTGGTTTGAATTCTGGCTCCAGATGATTGAAAATCACACTGGGTATGTATGTGTGCCCCAAATTCTGACAGGATGGGGAAATGGAGAAGAGATTGTGATGTGACCATACCTCATGGCAGGGGGGATGCTTTCTGCTTCTCTCTTTGTCTCTCACTGGCAAGTACACATGCCCTTTGGCAAATAATTACTAAATAAATAGTTTCTCTAACCCTCAGTCTTTTTTTTTTTTTTTTTTTGAAGAGGTTTTTGCTATAGGGCACGTGCACTCACCAGACAGAGACAGAAAGCGAGAAATCACCCCCCGGGGGGATGGCCACACCGCAATCCCTTCTCCTCTATTTTCATCTCGGGATCTTGGGCACGCACGTACACGCGCCTGGCATGAGTTTTCTTGGGAGAGGTTTTTTTTTTTTTTTTTTGCTATAGGGCGCGTGTGCTCACCAGACAGACGGTGAGAGACAGAAAGCAGGAAATCACCTCCCAGGGGGGATGGCCACGCCACAATCCCTTCTCCTCCATTCTCCCCTTGGGATCTTGGGCACACACGCATACGTGCCCGGCGTGAGTTTAACCCACCGGATCCGGGACTGGAACCGCGGTCGACTACGTGGGAGTCCACTGACATAGCCATTACGCTAACTGCTGGTCCCGCCTGGCATGAGTTTTAAGCCACCAGGTCTGGGACGTGAACCGCGGTCGACTACATTGGGAATCCAGCCACATAGCCATTACACTAACTGCTGGTCCCCTGGCGTGAGTTTTAAGCCACCATGGTCGACTACACGGGAGTCCAACAACATAGCCATTATGCTAACTGCTGGTCCCATCTAACCCTCAGTCTTGATGGTTTTCCACTTTCCTATGAAAATGTTATAGTTTATATTTTATATTTAACATAATCTATTTTGATCTACTTTAAATTAATTTTTGTTTAAAGTGTGAAATTTAGGTCAAGGGTTTGTTTTGCTTTTGTTTTGCCTGTGAGTGTGTAGTCACTCCAGTACCATTTGTTAAAAAAGGCTATCTTTCCTTCAGTGGATTGCTTTTGTACCTTTGTCAAAAAAAAAATCACTTGTGTATTTTTGCATGAGTCTATTTCTGGGTTCTCTCCTCTTTTCCATTCATCTATGTATCGATCTTCTACCAAATACCATACAGTATTGATTACTGTATCTATACATTAAGTCCAAACACCAGGCAGAGTCAGCTTTTTTTTTTGGAAAGGTTTTTGCTATAGGGCGCGTGCACTCACCAGACAGAGAGAGACATAGAGACAGAAAGCGAGAAATCACCCCCCAGGGGGGATGGTCACACCGCAGTCCCTTCTCCTCCATTCTCCTCTTGGGATCTTGGGCACGCACGCACACACGCCCGGCGTGAGTTTTAAGCCACCGGGTCTGGGACATGAACCGTGGTCGACTACGTGGGAGTCCAGCAACATAGCCATTACGCTAACTGCTGGTTCCCAGAGTCAGCCATTTTTTATTCCTCTTTTTAAAAATAGTTTTAGTTGGGCCAGCCTTGTGGCCTGGTGGTTAGAAGAGCTGAATCCCGCATGGCTGACTGTGCAGTATAAGTCCTGGTCCTAGCAGCTTGGGAAACATGCTGGGCTTATATACATACGTGTTCAAAAATCCTGACAAAATGGAGGAATGAAGGAGAAGGGACTGTGGTTTGACCCCATCCCATGGGGGTGCTTTCTCCCTCTCCCCTCCCTTTGTCTCTTTCTAATGAGTGCATGCACCATCTGGCAAATTTTTTTTCTTTTTTTTGGAGAGGTTTTTGCTATAGGGCGCATGCACTCGCCAGGAAGACAGAGAGACAGAGAGACAGAAAGCAAGAAATCACCCCCCAGGGGGATGGCCACTCCGCAATTCCTTCTCCTCCATTCTCCTCTCTAGATCTTGGGCATGCACGCGCACGCGCCTGGCGTTGAGTTTAAGCTACTGGGTCCAGAACTCGAAACACGGTCGACTGCATGGGATTCCAGCAACATAGCCATTACGCTAACTGCTGGTCCCCCCCATCTGGCAAATTTTTAAAAATTGTTTTAGGTATTATAGTTTGTTTGTCTTTCTCTATCTCTGTCTATATATCATGGCTTTCCCAACGACTATGTATATAGGTGATAGATAAATACATATAGATACAGATAGAGAGTCTTCAGGAAAGCCACGAGGTGTTTGTCTATTCAAAAATGCATCATGACTTTCCTGACTTTTTAAAAATTTATTTAGTTTTTACAGTTTTGCCATGGGGCATGTGTACTCACGAAGGAGAGACAGGGAAAATAAGAAATCGCCCCCTGGGGGGTTGACCATGCCCCCTTCTCCATTTTCCTTCCAGGGTTTGGGCATGCACACACATTCACCTTGTGTGATTTTTAAGCCACTAGGTCCCAGACTCAAACTATCTGTGTGGAATCCAGCCGCCTTAACCACACCACCCATTGGCCCGATTTTTTTTCTTTTTTCTGTTGATATGTTGGATTGCATTTATTGATTCAGCCTTGTATTTCTGCAATCAACCCCTCTTGGTGATTTGGTTTTGCCTTTTTATTCTCTGTGTGGGAGAAAGAAGAGTACAGGCCAGGGTGTGTGTGTGTGTGTGCTTGCCTGAGAGAGAAACAGACAGACTGCCAGAGAGAGAGAGGAGAGAGAAGGGGCGGGAGAGGTGAGAAAGGAGAGAGGAGGGGGAGAGAGAAGAGAGGGAAGGG